CAATGCAGTGTTAAGACCTCGCAACCATCTTCACACTATCAGCAACCGAGCTGCACCAAAGCGTTACCATGGCATTGATTTGAAGATCAGCGACAGGACACAACCTCTCAACTCAAGTACAACTGAACTTGAGCAGATTGAGCCACCACCCCTGACTCCGAAGTCAATCCCAACACAGCGATTGACGATGCCTACATCCGGTCCTCCTCGAAGACTATCTCAGCCACCAGCCAGACGGCCTCTAACCGGCAGACCGAATGATGAATCTCGAGACACACAAGTCGAGAGCTTCCGAGAAGAGTCTGAGCCAGAGCCACATGGCCGTCGCAGACAGACCTTCAGCACACCGTCAACACGATACGGATCACCCCCTGCCCTTCCTCCCCTTGCTCCCTTCTCTCCACCAGATCCCCACAGCACATCAGCAACAAGACCTCTCGCCCCACCACTCAAGAGACGCAACCACCGAACCATCCTTTCGACTCTACTCAGCAAACGCAAACAACACACAACCCTCCGCCACCGCACAGATCACAGCCGGAAGAAATCCGGCCGCCAACGGCTCCAGCAAGAAAACAATGCCAAAGTCACCCAACAATGCCTTTCTTCAAACAAAGGACTCTACCGCGCCAAGGGGCAGGGGATTTATGCCCCGTCGTCAACATCCTCAAAGAATCTTCACAGCCGGGTAGCTGCGTCCCCAGACAAAGAGAACCTCCCCCCAGAAGATGAAAAGCTCCTGCACAGAGGACCCAGCAACGACGACGAAGGGGCTGCCGATGAGATGCATAAAGATGTGGGTGGGGCCGGCGGCTGTTCGCAATCTGCACCTGTGTCTGGATCTACATGCAGGGGTTGTTCTCACAGCTACTGCGACTGCGACTGCGACTGCACTTACGACTACGACTACGATTACGGCTACTGCTACCCCTCGGATTCCTGGGGAGACAGTCTATCGACGCAGATGGTGTTGAGATCTTCACCATCACGAACAACAACAATACCTTCGGATGGGATCTGGTGGTGGAACGACACTGACAACGAGATGAGGGCAAGTACGACGAGGGGCTCGAATGGGCTGACGACGAGGGCTAGGCTCTATAATCGCCAACAACCGCCGCAGCAGGAACAGCAGCAGGAGCAGGGCCAGACTTTCACTCCCACCTCCCAGGGCTTAGTAGTGAGAAGGCCGCTGAACATGGGAGCTGAAGAACGAAGGAAAGCGCGACGAGGAAGCCTCCTCGCCCGATCTCCTGCCTCTCCTTCTACTTCCTCCTCTACTCCGCTGCGCAAATCCTTCCCTTCAGCCCCCACCAATACTCGTAGTCGACTATTCGAAGGGACGATATCCTCGCGGTCCAAGATGGTCGGCGCACCACCAGCAATAACGGCTGCGACGAGGGCCACAGCAGCGCAAGAGCCCCGAAGAGCGTCGGGCATCAATCCCACCCCGCCGAGAAGAGTGCGATGGACGAGCAAGTTTGAGAATCTGCGCGCTCAGGGTAACAGAGAGCAATTGCAGCCGCAGCCGCAGCTGCAGCAGACGAGGACGAAGAGAGAATCGACGGGGCTGCGTGCAGCACCTGCGCCTGCTCCTGCTCCTGCACCCGCGGCAGGTTCGAGGAGGGAGTCTCTCAGAAGAAATTCGCAACTCGCTCCTCCTCCTGCTGCTGCTGCTCCACGGCCACCATCATCCTCGATCGGACCGAAAAAGGAGCCGCCTCTACGAAGGAATTCGCAACTGGGTCCTCCCGTTGTTGCTCCTGCACAGCTCTCATCATCTGTGATAGGACCGAAGAGAGAGTCTATACGAAGGAATCCGCAATTGGCTCCTCCTGCTGCTGCTGCTCCACGGCTACCGTCATCCTCAGTAGGGCCGAAAAGGGAGCCTCTACGGAATTCACAACTGGCTCCTCCTCCTGCTCCTTCACAGCTACCATCATCATCACCCCCGAGGTTACGAGGCACACAGGCCCAAAAGGAAGATAGTAGTGGTAGTGGTAGTGGCAACAGACCTGGTTCCGTTAGGGCTGGGCTTCCTGCTCCCAGAACAGCACGACCACCAGCAAGACCACCACTAGCAAACGCAACAACAGCCCACCGCAAACCCACCGTGACCGTAACCCAGCACCCCCAACAACCACTCCGAAGAATCACCCTCCACCGCGCCCAAGCAGAACCGAAAAAGCAGCTACTCACCCCTATCCGTGCTCTCCCAGCCGCCGCCACCACCACCACCACCACCACCACCACAACCCCGCGCCGCAGCTTCACCCACACGCGCATCGCCTCCCTCCCCTCGATCGTCAAATCCCTCAACCGACCCAAACTCATCGCGGACCCGAAGTCCTTCGCCCAGGTCTGGGAAGCCCGACCACCGGCCTACTGGCTGGGCCGGTTCGTGACCCTGACCAATGCGTTCCACTACGAGGATTCGTTCCGGCAGCCTGACGCAGCCACCGGGTCTCCGGGGGTGCTCTCGAGCTACCCCCAGCGGCCGCTGGCGGGGGCGGATGCTGCTGCTGCTGCTGCTGCTGCTGCTGCTGCGGTGGACGCACATGCGAACGCGGACGCGGACGCGGACGACGGGGATCTGCCGAATTCCCGCGTCAAGCGGGCGTTCATGCTGCTTGAGAATGTCTGTGTGACGGACGAGGCGAGTGGGAGTTTGCGAAGGTTCCGGAATGCGTATGTGGTGAGGTTTGGGGATCGGTGGATGGATTGAACCTGGTTTTTCTTCGGTTTGAGGTGAGGGAGTTGGAGTTCTCGGCTGGGCTGTACTGTACTATAGGAGTCTGGTAAGAATAGGCATTTTTGTTCTTATGGTTCGGATCATGATGATTATGGTGATGCTGGTGCTAGATAGAGGAATGTTTTTTTTTTCTGTTTTCAGTGTGCTTTACTACCCGTTAAAAGTTCTTGATACTTATCCAGGGAAGGTAAGGTGGTCGTTACTTCGTGTGCATGTTGTTTGATTCCTAGTCATCAAGATATTTCTCCTATGATACATTTCCCCGCGACACCTATCTATAAGCCCTGATACCAGATCATCAATAAGATCTTCTCTCGTCAACAGTAAAGCGTGTAAGCCGTGAAACGCCAGACCACCCTCAAAATGAGCATCCTTTAACAAACTCATGTAGAATCTTTTTCACTTCCGACTCCGTAAGAAAGCGGCCACCTGTTCATGTCGGGTCACGAAGAACATGCGCTTGCGGTCCGACTTCCAGACGAGCACGCCGATCTCCTCGGCATAGCGGCAGGGGGCCTCGTACTCGGCCAGGCTGACGAAGTCCTTGAACAGGAAGCCGGCGGTGGCCTGGACGCGGTCGCGCTCGAGCTGCCAGAGGCGGATCTGGTCGACAACGGTGGGGGGCAGGATGGACTGGGGGATGCCGGCCTGATTGGAGGTGGAGCGGGAGGTGTTGTGCTTGCGCATCTGTGGGTGGGCGTGGGTGGACAGGTAGGAGATGATCTGGTCGGCGGTGATGCCCATCTCGACGGCGCGGCGGATGGACTGGCGGGTGATCTTGCCGGTGATCAGGTTGGGGAAGCGGTACTTGAGGGTGGTGAAGAGGGCGATGAGGCTGATCTGCAGCGGCGACGAGGTGTAGGCGTACAGCCGGTAGTTGGTTTCGATGATGATGAAGCCCGTGCCGGCTTTGTTTGCGGCGGAAGAGGAGGAGGAAGGATCGCCGGTCGGATTGCCGGCCAGCGAGCCGGCGATGGGGTTGCTCAGCGCGCTGGAGTCCGAGGTGAGCGTCGTCGCCAGCCGGGTCGGGTAGAAGTGCGCCGCCTCGGGCGACTCCTGGTAGACGATGCCGAAGTCGGCCAGGTCGGCGAGCGTGCGCAGCTGGTTCGCCGTCAGGTGGCGCTTCTCGTACGACTGGCCCAGCTCAAGGCTGCTCAGCAGGAAGACGAACGAGAGCACCTCCACGCTGTCCATGCCGATCGCCTCGGCACTCTCCACGTACAGGATCAGGATGTGCCACACCTGCGTGCTGACGTCCTGCAGCACGAACGCGAACCCGTCCTTGGTGATGTCCACGCGCGTGCCGCGGATCTCCACCAGATGGCCCGCCTGCAGCAGCTGTTTCACCCCTTTGCTCAGGTTGACGTCCCGCTGGATCCCGAGCCCGCTCGTCCCCACCATGTAGCCCAGCACGCCTTCCCACTGCCGCCGCGCGTAGTCGTCCAGGTTGGCGATGGAGACCGCCGCCGCGTTAGGCGGGTGGGCCAGAACGCCAAAGGACTGGGTCTGCTCGGCCCCCGTGAGGGCGTGTCGCAGCGATGCAGCGAACGGGTTCGTGACCATGTACGCTCGCACATTGTTCGCGATGACGGTATTCGACAAGATATGTAACCGGCCGAGAATCGAAAGCGCATTATCACGTTCCCTTCACGCCGGCGTTTTTCATTAGCAAACTGGGTAGAGTCAAGCCAACGCACGTACTCCAAACAGATAGCAAACTCACTTTAAGCTCTCGGATTTCACCCAGACCTCCAGATCCGCCGCGGGGAGCGGATCCTTGAGGTACAGCAAGGCCATCACAAAACATTTTGCTATAACAATCACAAAATCAGTCTAAGAGGCACACTCCTTGGCCAGAAGGGTAGATGGCATACCCAAGTCAGGCAGCATGCGCCTGAAGATGGCGAGGGCGGTTGATGGCTGCTGGTAAAGCTTGAAGAAGACCGTGCCAGGAAGGCTCTCGAGATATTCAAACGGACGAGACGATGGTGCAGCAGCCATCTTGTCTGCACAAGTCACCTCTGCAGCATGGTGCGACCAGGGCGAGAGAGGAGAAAAGCTGGGTCGCCTGCAGCCTTGGGTAACTAACGACCAAGTTATAGAGAAAGCCTTGTGGAAGCTTGGTGTGAGTACGCAAAAAGAATAGAATCGCGGAGAGCCCGGTACGGGGGGCGAGACCATCACCAAGCGCAGTCCGCGGCGATGACCTCAACTTGCTTACCTTCGCCTTTCCGACTTCTACCCGTCCCGCCCGTCTATACTCCGTAGTGACTTAGCTCATATATCCATATATCTCCGCAACTCGACTCAATTGCACTGGTTCGACTCGAATTTACCATGACCTCCTTGCGCTTTGTCAGATCTGTAAGTGACTGGGATCTTACTCCATATTCAACATTTACTATACTAACTGTTCCTCCACAGGTCTGGGAGTCCTTTCGGGCCAATTCGGGGCTGGAGCCTCGGTAAGTCAATACAAACGGCATTTCTGCATCATCCATGAGTACCTAGCCATTGACAGCCCAACGATCGTGGTGCTTCAAGTCTATTAGATGGTGTAAGCCGTCCTTCAATCCATTTGCAGCTCATGCCCTCTACATGCGCAGTTGCATGAAGTAGATACATATACTTCCCCCATGGCCTCTCCGGCCTATCAACTTCCCAACCAAGACATCGCATCAACAAACTAACAACACCTGTGAAACTCCACAGCTCCGCGTAACAGCCGCCCGACCCGGCAGAGTCAACTTTGAACTCGACATCAAGAAAGAGCACACAGTAAGCCAACCGTTTCTCCACGTGTTAGCATCAAGTCCAGTCGCGTCGCCGAATACAAGTCCCCTAACATCCGCAACCCAGAACCGCTTGCAAATCCTCCATGGCGGGACCATCGCCAGCATGGGTACGTAACCCAACGTGTGCTGGCTTCTTGCTCTTGAAACTGAAACTCAAATTGTCTCCAGTGGACCTAGGCGGTTCCCTCGCGGTAGCCTCCCGCGGTCTCTTCGCTACGGGTGTATCGACCGATCTCAATGGTGAGTAGAAAGCCCCCAAATAACCAAGTCACTAATTGCTAACTCGTCTGCGAAATGAGTGACCTATCTCAGCTCCGGGGGTAAAGTCGGAGACAAGATTCTGGCGGTATGTAACCCCCCCACAGTCCGGGGGACCTGTCCCTGCCTGCGTTGGACCTAGCTCCATGGTCTGGATACGATACCAGAATATGAGTCAATGCTGATTCCGCCATATCCAGGAGGTCAAATGTGATAAATGTAGGTCCTACCTGCTTGCTGTCGTTGACAGTCCCCCTCCGAATGCAGCACATTCGTGGTTTATCTCACGGAATCTAATTTCGGTAAACGCAGTCGGCAAAACTCTGGCCTACACCTCGATCAAATTCCTCAACGAGAAGGGCGATGTCTTTGCGCGGGGTAGTCACACTAAGTATGCACCTTCTCAACTCCCCTCTCTCGATTCTTGATTTGTACAAATATGGAGGAAGGGGCTTGGGCTAATTAATGAACTCTCGATCAGGTTCGTCGCCCTTGCATGGAAGGACCCGCAGAATATCGTCGAAGAGATGGCAAAGGAGGAGCAGCAGTCCTCGTCAAAGAGCGAGGGTTAAGTGGGCTCTTTCTTTTGAGGGTACTTTGGTGAAGGTGATAAGTCGGATCGTCGGAGACACGACTCGTACCCCTGTAGAAAAAAAAGGCAAGAGACGCGAGTTAGAGACTGTAGCTGTATAGATGTACAGTATATATGTTGGGACCGCAGGCTTCAAGCTGTCTGCAGAATTTCTTCTCGGGCATCAAGCCACAGTCTTACTGAGCGCATATGTACAGCAGGAAAGTTGATAGAAATAAGAAGATTTTGTCATGACTGTGGCGGCGTCTGATGGAAGCGACCGGTCCTTCACATGTTCATAAATTCGCTTCCCAATAGAACCAGGGTACTAGTAGCCAAAGAGAGGCATACATAAAGAGACGTACATGGATGGGGGGGGGGGGGGGGGGAAAGTAGGTAGGTAGATTGCAGAATCGTAGATTGCCGACTGATTCAAATCATTTCAAACGCCGGTAAGGGTATGTTCGTGCAGAGGGTCGTCATCCATGTCTTCGCCGGTACCCATCATGACCTCATCTTCGTCGACCACCTGATCCTCGTCGGCGACCTGCACTTCATTGTCGATGGCGATGTTCTCTTCGCCCATCGCCTTGAGCTTAGCCTGGGTCATTTCGAACACGTACTGCCCGAGATGCTCGACGCTCTCCATGGGAGTGCCTTGAACTTCGTCATCCTGCGAGCGGGCAGAGGGAAACATCTCCCCCGGTGCAAGCATGAGCTTATCCGGACGCTGGAACAGAAGGTCGAACGCCGGCTTCAGCTCGTAACATGATTCGAATACTTCACGACGACCGAGGATGTATAGTCCCAGCCGGGCGCGAGAGAGCGCAACGGTCAGACGACGGACATCGCGGAGATATCCCACGGTACGCGTCCGCGTAAGGGAAAGAATGACGTCTACAAGATCTGGATTAGTATAGCTCCCAATAAAAGTCATATCAACAATAGGATGACTTACAGTCGTTCTGTTCACCCTGGTATTTGTCGACAGTAGTAACAATCTTAGGCATGCCGAACAATCCGTTCTTGGCACAGCGGTGGCTCAAGACATCCTTGATCAAGGCCGTTTGACCGGCGTACGTTGCAAGGATCGAAATCTTCGACGCAGGATATCCAAGAAGACGCATGTATTGATAGATGGCGACGGCATACTCAGCCTCGCCCAGGTTCTGGATGAAATGTGGCGTGGGTTCTCGTTCCCCGTTGCCTTGATAGTCAGGGACGTTGATGAATTGGTAGTCAAATTGGAAACCAGCATTTGCCCGTTTGTACTCTTCCACCGTCTCGACTGTGGGAAGATTACCAAGCTGTTTGTAGCGCCATTGGAAGAGCTCCGCGATACTCGGTCTGGAACGGCCCTGTTGATCGAGTGTGATAACAGGAACACCCAGTCTCACCAGCCGCAGGAAAAGACTCTGTTCAAAATGTGCGTATTGCCGGAAGGCCATGTTCTGAATAATGGGCGAGTTTTGCAAATGATCACCACAGAGAACCACGCGCTTGAGAGGAAGTTCACCATTCTTCATGTTCTGCAGTGCAGTGGGAATGAAACATTCAATCTCTGTAATTTGTGCAGCTTCTTCCATAATGACATTATCGTAGTGGAATCCTAGATCAGCAATCTCCTGACGGCGCATCGCTGCATGCGTCGATGTCATGGCAATTATCCGCGCCTCCTTCACAAGGAGATAGTTGGCCTTGTCCTTCTGCTGACGTAGAATCTCAAACGGCCGGATATCTTCTAGCTCAGAGAAGATCTTTTCGATGTGCCGCTGGCAGCCCTTCGCTACATCAAGCACAGTCTCTTTTGGTGCGGTAGGTTCAAAAACGGGCTGCGGTGCGTTTGAGAAATAATCATGGAAAGGGAAAGCTGCGACGACTTCCTCGTTGGAGACATTCTCGGCACGCGCGTGATCCCAGAACTTGGCCCAAGCAGGTTGAACGTAGACTGTGTTGAAATAACCCGCAGTTTCGCAGGAGTTCCCATGGGCCCCTTGAGCTCCGATTGATGCAGCCAGTCGAGTGACCTCACTGAGGAAGAAATTGCGATTTTCAAGGAACGACTCAACTCGGCCGTACTTGCTGTAGTTAGAGTCGGTTTCTAGCTCTTCCTCACCATGACCAAGACGGAGAAGATGACGTTCGTCAATGTCAAGAGCCACAATCTTTTGGAAGAGCTGGTTCAGTGCTTGGTTGCTGTGCGCAATCAGGAGTGTACGCTCATTAGGGAAGTCGTGGTAGATGTTGTTGATGATTTGCGTGGCGACATCAGTCTTGCCAGTGCCAGGAGGGCCGACAATGACAGTCAACCCAGGTTGGGTCCCTGACGTGATAGCCTCAACCTGCGCCGGAGTGAAGCGCACTGTGTTCAATTTGGGGGCATCGATCGGATAGGGGCCTGGGTGTGGCGGTTTGTATGTGGAAACGCGCAGTGACTTGGGACCTGATGCCTTTTCCGACTGATCTTTGCGTCGTCTCTTCGTGCCCGCTGACGGGGTCTGAGAAGGTTCTTCAACATATTCCAATACGTACGGAGGACCGAAACTGGACGTTTCGCTGGTCGAGGGCTCGATGGTCCTCCCGGGGAAGCTTTCGATCAGATGTTGCCAATCCAAAAATGTGTCTCGGAAATCGACCGACTTGAGTCGATTGGGCAATTCGGTGTATCGAGCTCCGGCCGGGTCCCCATAGCCCAAGAAAATATCCTGAATCCAGGATGGCAGAGCGATATCGGAGACGATCAATTTCTGCATAGTATCGAGGATCGATTTGAAGTTGTTCTCTCTTCCCTTCCTCCGGGCAACCACGTTGATTGACGAATAAATATCCGGCTTTCCTCGGGCAAGTGCATCTCTGTCTGCCTTGAAAGCAGCGGGGTCCAGATTGACCAACAGCTTCCGGACACGAGGTTTGTGTTTGTAGCCATTCGACTGGCCGGAAGAGAAATCTCGTAAGGGACGACCATTTTCGTCTAGCACCTGAACTATCTCTGCGGTTCGAAGGTGTGTCAGCCCGGGAGCTTCAGACTCGCGAAGTCCAGACTTCGCGGCACCATCCGACTGCACGGCCAAGAGGAAAATGACATCATCTGGACGCAGAGAGTCCCATTCCCTGCGAATGTGGTCTGCTAACCTGCCCACCTCGATGGCGATTTCAGCTCTGACAAAAGCAGGCTTGGCGGAACCGACCTTGGGGGGAGCGACTTCAATTATAGCGGGCTTCGTGATCGGGATAGCCATCCGCGAAAAACCATCAAATGTCACAGTCTTACCATCACGACTTGCGCGGGGCTGCATCCGCTTGATGACTGACTCCATATCTTTCCGGATCTGGAAGAAAGCCTCGGAGCGGTATAGAAGGAATGAACGCCAAAGGAAGTCGCCAGTGCTGAGGTATTGTAGGTTCAATTTGGGAATAGCTAGCGGGGTAGACCCATCGTAATTCTCATTGCGCAGCAATGCAGGATCATAGAGATCTACCTCCGTGGGGACAATGCTGAGCTGCGACGCAGCTTCTTGAAAGGTTGGCTTCCGTTCGTAGAATGAGAGGAGGATCTCCATGTACAGTTGGCGGTCGGGTGTGACTTGCGACTGTTTAGGGTACTCGATGCGGAATCCAAGATGGCTGCAGAGCTTCTGCAGTTCGCCCTCCTCCAAAGATGCCAATTGACCTTCCAACTCCGAGCGTTGCTCAATAGAACCGTAGTTGGACAGGGCCAGGATCATAAGCTTGTCCTTGAAGTATTTCATGGAAGTCCTCTGCAAACGTGCCAGCTCTTGGCAGTGGAAATCGTAGACTGACTGAGGCGATAGAGCTTCTCCTGTGAAGTCATCGATGGCGAACGATGCAAAGTGCTTGAGTAGACCACTGAGGTCACGGAAGAGCGCATTGTCGGGTGTGCGGTAGAGCTGCGACAGACGGAGAATCGCTAGCAAATTGAGGTCTTTCAAAAGCGTGTTGACGTAGCGCCGGGTGGGGGGCTGGCTTTCCAGATCGACGAGGAACTCGAGGAATCGCTCACAGTATCTCAGGTTCTGTGTCTGGTCTTTCTCGGCGCTGTTCAATCTGCGGAGGAAATCCAAGAACATCGTGTACAGCCATGACCTCTCAAAGCGGATCTTCGCCTTGGCAGCTTCATCTCCCGCATCGTACCGTTTGGCTGCAGCTCGCCATGCCTTTTTCAAACCCGGACTTTTCGCTAATAAGGAATCTCTTGCCCCTTCGCTGGAGAGGTTGTGCCAGATGGAGATGGAAACGAGCGGTGCGCACTCTTTGCGGATCAAGGTATTTTCGACGGATTGGAAAGCACTGATGATGAAGGAAATGATGGATAGTCGTGGGGATGCATCGAGGGAGGGATCAATGCTCATCGAGAGGATTCGATGGAAAAGGTTCGAGAAATCGTCCGGGCGATCGGAGAAGACCTCTAGACTTGGATTAGTAGTTTCTCCGCAGAGAATGTTTCGTGCACGTTATCAAGCTTACCCCAGATTGGTAAGTGTTCGCGTTGCTTGACACTCACAATCAAGACGAGCAGCAACACATGGTAATTCGACGCATCTTCAGTGTAGGTCGGCCAAAGATACCTACGCTCGGCGGGTTAGCCATCCGTCTTGTCTCCAGAGCTAACCTATTTATCTCGAAAGGATGAGGGCGCGCATACTTTTCCAAGATGTTCAGGTTCTCCAGAGTGAGAAGCGAGCGAAAGGCGAACTTTTCAGCCTCGAGGGGATCCCAGATCTCCTTTTTTATGATATCCTGCTTGACTTTGCGGGTTTTGGAGCCCTCCAGCCAGTGGGATTTCGCCAACTGCACCCAGGGACTGTCTTCCCGAAAGTCGTCCACGTTTGGTCTGGAATCGAGGCCCGGCGCCATCGCCTGACGTGTCTGGAGGCCCATTCCTAGACGTAAGGAGGAGGAAATGGGGGGAAGGGGAAAGAAGAGGAGGAGGGAGAGGAGAAGAATTGCTTCAACTGGACTCCGGGGCGTGGTCTCCGATCAGTAACTGCGCAAGTGGTCCGTTGCGGCGGGATTGGGAAAGCTTCTGGCGCGCGCCTACCGGCCGCATTAATCCTCCAGCGGTTAGGACCCGCAGAGCCGCAGCCAGTCAGTCACCCCCCCAATCCCCCCATCATCCGCCGCGGTTG